AAAATAATTTTTAACTATGAATCAACACCACACCACATAATTAATGAAATGACAACGGGTAAAATTTTTTTATAATAAATCTTACCTATTATCATGTTTAAAATTCTCCTATACTTTGTCACGTAGCTATTTCAATACGAAAAGAACCAAATTTGCTGAGAATATATATCTTTCTGATTATCCTCGATATTTTTTAGTTAAAAAAAAAGAAAATTTAAAGTTGCAATGGAAGTGGAAAGATCATAGTAGGTATACTCAAAGGATTAGTGTAAAGGAGGAAAATAAGATAAATTTTTTTATTTTTAAAAAAAGCCAAATGAAACTTTTTAAAAAAATTAGAATAATATGACGTAGAGTATGATTATTTTCATCAAAAATAATCAAAAATCACATTAATAATACATTAATATTTAAGTTAATAGGATGTCATTTTTGAAGTATCCGAATTTAACTTCATTTCAGTCATAAACGATATATTCGGTCGCATTTAATTATTGTATAATACATTATATATATTATTTATTGTTTATGTATTTCGGAGGTTTTATTATTTAACGTTGCAGTAAATGACGATCAATTTATTATTATCGTTATGCATCTACCATATTAGGCAATTTAACAAAGGGACATTTTGAATGAAATGCCATTTTAATTCTTGATCTTTCAGATAATAAGTGAAATCATTTAATATGAAAGGAAAGGTTTTTTTTTTTATGATGCATAATCTAACACAGAAATACGCCGCCGATTTTTAAATGGACCATTTTAGATCATTAAGGAATGTATCGAAATGTACAAGTGTCCAAATTAAAAAAATTTTTTTCCTAAGATTGACCAAAAAAATCAATGATAATAACCAGAAATAGAGATGGTGTAACAAAGTGACCATTTTTCTGTTTCTTTTGTGCTTAACTACAATGATTGTGTTTTAGGTATTCAATTCTGCTGAACCATAATTGCAATGGAAAGAGAGGTGAATTGTCAACTATAATACCATTCTAGACTGAAACGTAATCTATCTTCATAGTTATCTTAAACTATTGAACTATATATAATATTGCTCTGGCAAAGCAAGAAACCAGCTACTTTGACCTAATTAAAAGAAAAGCATCCACTTATTTATTAAATTGGGAATTCACATAAATTGCTTTTTGCTCAAAGTCAGTAAGTATATAAGATGGTGTTAATACGATATCGTTTCCTTCAGCAAACCGAGAAAAGTCTTTAAATAGCCACATATATAAAGTTCATATACCAACGAAGAATTCGTTCGCATAAATTGCATGTATACAAATGACAAAAAATGTTTGGAACTGTTCGAACATACCATCCAAGAACCAAAAGTACGCTGAGATGTTTGTTGGTTATTTTCCTTGATGTAAATATACATTTCATTCTTGATCAACTTATAATCTGTAGTTAAAAAAGGATCATCAATTATTGAAACAAAGCTAGAATATTAATTATTCAATACTTTGTGGTTGTGTTAGTGATCCGAACTGGTCGGGTCGACCCGTATTATTGACCCAAGTTAAGTTTTCGAGTCAGGTATTTTAAGACGCGAGTCCCGAATTAATCATACTTTGCACGACCCTAATTTGTACTACAAGAAAAAGTTAAATTATGAAAACTTCTTTTTTTGTTTTTTGTTACTATTTTAATTATAAATAATTAAACAATGAGCGAATTATTTGATCTTACTTCTGGAAGTGAAATAAGTGAAATTGCTAGAAATAAAAAGCTTTACGTAGTGAACTTTTTACAAAAGAACTTTTTGAAGAAAATCATCAAGAAGTAAAATGTCTTTGCTGTCCGTAAGTAATTTGTAAAATAGTTAAAGATTTATTTTATTATTTATTTTTTAAAACAAAAAATATTTAGAAATTAAAATGGCTTAATGCCAGCAAAACGAGTTTTTTTCTGGTAGATCTTATCTAGTTGCAGCAATTAAATGTTATTGGTTTAAGAAAACACAATTCGTGCATGTATGTGTTTAAAATCCTGGTGGGCATAAGATTTTGAAGTTAAATTGGTTGTTCCGAGTTAAACTATAGTCGGTTCGTGTAATGCAGATGCTGGCCCGAACATTTTTAACAGTTCATTTGAGCTCTCGGGTTGGGTTCGGGGATACCCGACCCGACCCGACCCCTTCGGATGGTGTGGTGCATATTAAGCATTCTTTGATAAAATTTATGAGATATCGCAATCATTTTAGTAATAGTGTCTTATTTTCAATTAAGTAGGGAATATATATGATCGAATTATAAATAAATAAAAAAAAAATACTTTGATTGACCTTACGTAGCTTATATATTAATTACTTTTTATCCGTCCAGGTAGGTCAGTTTTTTTCGTCGTGTATGTCAGGATAATGATTAGACTGTTTGTACTGGGAACCTTTTATTTTATGATTTATAAAAAGCAATACGTATAAAGAGCAAACCTAGCACATATAAATATACATTCATTTTTTTAACTACACGTAATTGCTGCTTTAATTGTATAACTTTGTACAACGTCGCAAAAAAAATGATTGATGGAATGACCGGATATTATATAGCGGTTCTGTGGAATATTGTTAGTTCTATAAGAAAAAATGGAGGCATAAAGGAAAAGTTAAAATGAAATACAAACATTTTCTAAAAAAGAAGAAACGAATCGTTTTGAATATAAGGAATTTTAAAAAACACAACCTTATGCCCGCATGTGTGCGGCTGTACTACAATGTAGACTATTACAGTAAAACGTTTAAAATGTATCGTGCATTTTTTCTTAATAAATAAACAAATTAAGTAAGTAATTCAAATGGCTAGCTTTGTTTTTTTATATCGTATCCATTTTCTGATACAATATAGACCGAAATGTAAAGCAAAGTAAGATTATGCGAAATAGACGGTTCAGCCATTTTTTCGAGTACGTTGTTTTTAATTGCTTTTTTGTCATAATTATCAGATTAATCTTTTTTAGTTGTAATATTATAATTTCCTGAATACACACAAAAAGTAATAAATTAACTTTATTGATTGTTATCTAGTCATAATAGATTACGCAAGTATATATTTTTCTTTACACGAGAGAAGGTTATCCTGTTAACCGGTTAAATTAACTCCGGCAGAAATTTAATTTTCTGCCAGAAGTAAGATTTTTGTGATTACAAAAAATGCTATAGCTCCGCCTAAATTTATAGTGCCGGTTCCAAACATCTTAACTTTAAATACATGATAATTGTATCTATTGATAATGCATATTTATTTTATAATACGAATAATACTCGAAAATTCAACTATTAACTTTATAGTTAAACGCGAAAGCTTTTTCAACAAAGAACTCGATTCAACTCTGAGTGCAAATTATAAGTAATTCACACTATATGAACGTGAAGTTTCCGATAGTAGCTTGCATTACGAGAATGTATCTAATATGACACTGGCAGCGCCAACGGTTCTCCAATGGGATCTCATGCAAATATATTTTTCTATTAATTCAGTAGGTGAAAATCCTAATGGCAGGTATGTTCAAGGTTATTATCAGACGTGAGAAATTTTGCAAAGTTAAAACTTAATGAAACATTTTACGCTTCTATTTTTTCTGATTTTCTTTAGCTTCAATTATAGAAAAATCGAACACTAATAATGAGAAAAACTCCTTTTAAATGGGTTGAAAAGTCATCAAATCTTTACTTTCGTTTAAAAGTACTAAAAAGCTAGTATAAAGGCGTGTGCAATTTTAATATACGGCTTTGGAAGAGTGCATCAATTACGATTTCCGATAACAAAAATAAAAAAATTTGATTCGAACATACTCATTATTAACCGAATCTTTATAATTTTTTGATTTATTTCAATACGTGATAAAATGTTTATAAAGAGAAAACTAAATATCATAAATATTTTATAACGTTCTTTTAATAACTTATATATTCAAAATTAGTTAAAAGTCTATTATTATTAACCTTAACAATCATAACCGGTTTTGTTATATTGGATTTTACCAAATTAATTATTTGATGTCCGTCCGGTTAACATCGATTTTTTTTTAAAAAAAAAGTTTTATTTCTTCATTGTAAATTTTACTTAATAAATATAAATATTTTCAAGTTTTTTGACGATTATCAGGAGATCGACGATACTAAAACTTAAAAGTATTCTTGGAAGAAACTTTGTGTAACACAGGAACTTTTGTTGAAATTTTTATAATACAGTACATACAAAATTTTTCCCTAAACTTATAAATAATAAATATATATATTTTCATCAAATAGCATTGAGATGAGATTCATCACACTATCTTATTTCCAAGGATTTTTGTAAATCCCATTTATAAAAATAATTATTTAAAAAAAAAGAAATTGATAAAACCATATTCGAAATTGATACAAATTGTGTAACTATCTTTTAGAACCTTGGTAGGAAAATATATTTTAATTATCCAGCAAAGTTTTATTAATGCATGTTTAAAAAAATTTGTTAAGGGACGCGCAAAAAGCATATGCATTGCATGACCGGAGAAGGAATTATTAATAACGTAATAATGCGACCAAAAATCTTTATTACAGCTAACAAAAAAGAATAAAAAATTTAGAATATTTTAAATAGAATATTTATTAATAATACATGATACTTTTATATTTTCCATCGTTTATGTATAAGGTAAATAAATTTGATATAAATGTTTTGTTTGCGGCGGTGCAAATTCAATACGTATGCTGCGGAGCAAATATTTTTCGTGCGAACGTCCAATTCAAAATAAAAAAAATTTTTCTATTAACGTATTTACTTCTAATATGTAGGTGATTTCTTTTCTATCATAAACATACTTCTAAATCTTAATATATTAAAAAAAAAAAAAAAATACCGAAGTTTAAATAGTTTCTATCTTATAACTTATAATTTATCGAAATATTCAATAAATCATATTGGTTTTTTTTTGTTGGAATGAATCATAACGAATGCCAATTTATATATATATATTTTTTTGCCTAATAAAAAGTTTTGTATTAATTATTTATAGTTGGAATTAAATAATTTGGGAAAATGCAAAAGCCTGCTTGTATAAAATGCTTTTGTGTGAATTTCTTGTTGGTGAAATTGATTGTTTTCAAATTCGGAAAATTTCTTTTCTTCAGCAATATCAAATTGATCTGATAAATCCGAGGACTCGGGGTCGTCACAGATAGCGGACACCCAATTTCCTAATAATTCATATAGGTGAGACGCAGTTGGTCGTTTTAAAGGATCAGGATGCCAGCATTGCTTCATCAATTGACTATAAACATTTGGAGTCCCTTCAAATATTTCGGGACGATTCCCAAGACAAATTAAAGTAGCTAATTCAAGGTCATGAGGTCTATTACACCATGGTCGAATACCCGCAGAGAGTGTCCACATGATAATTCCAAAGCTATAAATGTCTGAAGCTTTGGTTGGTGATATTCCTTGCAAAAGTTCAGGAGCAACATACGGAAGTACTCCATAACTTTCATTTAAATTTTCCCGAAAAACTGAATGTAATCCTACATCGATACGTGTATCTACTAAATTTGGTTCATTTTCAATTAATACATTTCCTCCATGAAGATTACCATGAATAAATTCAATATTATGTAAACATTCAATTCCTCCAGATATTCCCCATAACATTTCAATAATATCTCTCCAGCAAAGCATTCCTTGCGCTTCATCAAGGTATGAAAGTAAATTTCCATTCTCATAATATTTCATAACGAAAAAATAATTTGAAGAATGATCTTTGGTTATTCCAAAATATTCTGCAATACATTCTCTTCGTAAAAAATGAAGTTGATATAGCTTATATTATTAAACAAAAAAACATTACTAAAATTAAAGCAGATTAAAAGTTAACAATAAGAAAATTTTAAAATTATTAACTAACTTGTTTTACATAATCTTCGCTTGTAATTTGTGAATTGTTAAATCTTTTAAGAGCAACTTTTGTGGGTCCAATACGAGTCCATCCTTCGGCATCTTCATCAAACATCAATCGAGGACCTTCCATCCAAATGGCCGAATATGTTATACTAAAGGCTCCACATTTATTTGTATTTTCTACAAGATCAAATTGCTCAAAGTCAATATATTCTAAGTAATCCACACTTCCATTCGCATTAAGTTGGGTATGCTGAATGAGGTTATCAATGTTAAGGTTGCCACTTGTCCAATTTTTAAAATTTTCTTTAAAAGCGTTAATTTCACATTCTTTACACCATCCTAAATTATTTTGTTTCTGTTTACATTCAAAACATGTTCTAATAACTAACTCACCCGATATCAAGGCATTAAAATCTTCTGAAAATTATGCAAAGTTTTTACATTAGAAAAGGGATAGTAAATCATATTCACAACGTGGCTTTAATACTGTATCTAACCTCCAAAACTCATTGTCAGGTACGGAATCAAATAAATTGATCGATAAAATTGCTAAATGATTTTAGGAAAGAGCAGAAAATACATTTATTGTTAATTGCTTGTAAGTTTGATATTTACATTATTTATATGTTTAATTTTTGAAAATTAAATTTTGCCCGTTGAATTTCAAATTTATTATTCGGGAAAAAAAAAAAAAACTTTTATGGCAATGGTATTAACGATTCATCGGGAAAATCTTAGCCCCGTTTATAAATAAACCTAATTTGGAAATTTAATAAAGAACAATCTAAATAAAAAGTTATGCTAACCTATTTAATTTAATTAAAAATAAATACCTCAAAAATAATTATTTTATTTCTTGTAATCTTCGTGATAATATGTAAATACAATAACGTATTTGATTTGTTCGGATGAATTATTAACACGGACTTTCTTTTATGAAGAATTCCAAATGAAAAAAAAAACTATTTCTAATATTAAAAATGGGAGGTGCACGATTGTCTCATAGATGTTTTGTAAATGCTTCAGTTAAACGGCACGAAGTGCTAACTATTTAATCGATTCTTTCTTCGTTGTTTATTGTTATATTTAAATCATCAAATAATAAATGCCGAAATAATAACGATAAGTATTGAAAATCTTTTCGTAAGTCTTTGTTGTCAATATCAGCAGGTTTCCAAACAAAGTTGCCTCAATGATAATTCAGATCCATAGGATATTTATAAATTTAGAAATTGCTTTTAATTGTTCTTGCCTGGACAACCCATTTTGCTTTACTCATTGATCGGCAAAAAAAAGTTTCGTTGTGCGACGAAGGATTATATTGAATTTTCTAACTTAAATTTGTCTAATAGAATAAAATTTCCTTTTATATCTAATAAATCAGCCGATGCAAATTCTGGAGTCAGTCGGCTTAGTCGTCGTTAGACACTTTTCAGTCGACTCAGCCGTCGACTAAGTCGTGACCCTCATTTGAAATTAACAATATTTAAAATTTAATTAATGTTGTAAAAAGTAACTATTATAAGTTATCATCATAAATAAAGTTTTCAGAATCCCATTCAACTAATAATTTGAAACTTTTATTTGAAATTAAATTTTACAATGATCTTGCTGTCCCGTGATGTAAATAGGTAGTCGACCAAAGCCGTTATGATATAAATCCGGCATTCGGTGAATGGCTGTCGGTTAAAGGCGCGTATACGGTTACGATAAATCATATGAATTTTATTAGTAATCCTCACTTTATTATTGTATTTTTATACAGTAAATCTAAATTTGAGATCTTAATGCATCAGTCGAATAATATACGGAAGATCATTCAATTAGTATCATTAACATTAAGGACGAATTCAGGAGTTTCTATTCGAATTGAATTTGTAAATATTGCAATATTTTTTTTGGGATGTAGGCATCATAAATTTTAAAAAAGTTTTATTTAAAATCATTATTTCACGATAATCTGTTACATATACAACTTTCCATATAAATACGATTCAACACAGGATAAATTGGGAGAAGTCGTATTACCTCTTAATCTCAAAATTAATTTCAGTCACAACGTAATGATTAATTGTTTTGTTAGTTTTTTTTTTTTTTTTTTAGGTAATGCTTAAAATTACATCTTAACAGGAAGTTTACATAATAATATCACTTAATTTTGATTATAGAAGTGTCTTATGATGAAAATGAAAGAATAATGAATAATCATATCTGAAATAGCGGCATTTCTTTGTTAATTAATTAATGCGAGTAAAGTTTTTATAGTTAATTTGTGCTCCTTTTCACATTTTGTCATATAAAAAGCTGAGAAATTCGATATAGAAATTTGAAAGTAATCATGAACGATATATTATGACCTGAAACAGATTTTGAAAATTTAGCCTCTTCAGTGGCATCAAATTTATCAGTATTTTGATCATCACATATGGTGGCAACTATATTTCCAAAACTTTCGTAAAGTTGATAGGCTGTTCGATGGCGTATTTCCATTAAAAAAATCTCAGGAACAACGAAAGGTATAACTCCATAACTTTGTCGTGATGGTCTATCAATCGGACCGTGTAAACAAATATCCGCGATTCTAGTATCTATTGAATCTGCTTCGTTTTCAACCAATATGTTTCCTCCGTGTATATGTCCATGAACGAGATCAGCTTCATGAATAACGTTAAGACCAGCTGCTATGGACCATAGCAT